CAGTCGTTAATCTGGGATCCATTTCGTACGCTCCTCTTGACAGCCCTTTTTGTCCTCTCCGGTGGACCAGGACGACCCGGACGCTGCTCAGTTGTTTCCTTGCCGTGTTTCTTGAACTGCACGATGATTCTGTTGACTGTCGAAAGCGGGATTCTGAAATTCTGCGAAATTTGCCACTGACTTTTTCCACCATCTGCTTGACCAACTATCCTTCCTCTAACAAAATATGACAGTTTGAGAGAACCTTGAGTTCTAGGCATGTTGTAGCACAAGATAATTAGTGTGCGGACTATTTTTATTTATATAGTGCTCTGTGAACACAAATTAGTTAGCATAAATCAGTTAAGTGAAGAAAAATTAGGTGTCTATTTACTTGTGATCATTCAGTGTATATGTGCTCTGCCCAGCATGGGTATCGAAACCCGATTTCTAGCGTCATAAGTCCGCAGACATTCCGTTGGTATTATGTAGTCCACTGCGTTCAATGGTTACAACTGATAATATATCTTTTCAGCAAAACATTTTATATTTTCGTCCAGTCTTATCTTCAGTGGGCTGAGTGTTCAGTGGCGTAGTGAAGGCGTCTGTCGCCCACAGGCAAAACATAATTTGGCGCCCCCCCCAAAAAAAAATTCAACTCATGTGTTCACAGAATTGTTACATTTTCTATCAACTATGAGATGTCAGTGTACTTTAATCAATCTAACACTGAAAACTAATGGATTTCTCTAAGCAGATATGATACACTAATATTTGATGTCAAGCATAGCAAGAACATGTTAATGATCCGTAGTTTAATTCTGGGTTAACTAGTTGTTAATTTGGCACCCTCCGCAACTGAAGGCAGTTGTCCCCCCTTGCATTTCCCTCACTACGAAACTGTGAGTGTTATCTAATATTATTGTTTCTGAAGTTAAACATTAAAAAAATAACAACATAGAAATATTTCCTGTGCATGTCCGTACTGAATTAAATTAGTGTTTTTAGAACGTTATATCTCACAGAGTACTTTTCAAAATAATTAATAATGTTGCCCTTGGCGTAATTTACACAAGGAATGACAGGGAAATATTCCACTCATATTACAGCAGTACTAAAACAAGTACTACGATATTCGTGGCCGTTTTTGTTTTAAATAGAATAACCCTCGTACCTCAGCTTTATAAATTGTCCCTCACACTTATGAAAACAAAATTACACCACTAACTTGAGCTCTCACTATATTTGATGTTACCAGAAGATTCCAAAATAAAATGCGTAAATGAATTTTTTAGATCATCACTTTTCCTTCATCAAATATGTTACATTTGTAAATTGAAAACCAAAAATACCAAACAAATTTGGTCGATTGATATTACTCGTGCTCAGATTTTATTAGCTTGAAACTGAAATTATTAACTCGTATTTAATTTCTGTAGTGCATATTGGTGTATAGAAGATATTTTAACAATTGAAATGAACGACCTTACTACACCAAATTGTTCTTTTTCTTTTAGGCGAACACTCCTGAAGAAGCTGTAAAGTGAAACGTTCGGTGTCTAATTAAAGAAAAACAACAAATTGGTTTTATAAAGTCGTTTATTTCTACTATTGAAATTTTTAACTGCCCACGTTTACACAAGGTTGCAGTACACGCTACTCTACTAACTCCATCAATGTTTTAATTATGTTTCTAAGTTTATAGATATAAAGTTTATCGTATGTCTTATTTTCAATACAATTTTGGTGTTAACATTTTGAGCTATTTGGCATCAACCAGATTTTATCATATCCTTTGGCATTCGTCTAACTATATTTATTACTTTTAAACCCAAATGGACATTGATCGTTCTAAAATCATGTTATCGTTGATATACGTGTTATATGTATTAAATAAGGAGTAAGTGATTGTAAGTATTTTACAAACACCAAAAAAAGCTGTGATCGTCACTGAAACAACAGTCAAACATTATGCATTGATCACAAAGTACAAAATCACGAGATGTAGAATGAAACTGACTGTTAAGAAGATAGAACAAAGAAATGACTTTTAGTCTTAATGAATTATATTTAACTAATTATATTTGCTTATCTAATACACTGCCACATTTTGGCCCGGTGAATCTCCACGATTGTATTAAAGGTACTTCAGTAAACGAGTGTAGTTCTAGAATTTGGAAGTCGGTGTGAGAGACGCTTAAAATCCTCACTGAAGACCTACACTAGGATTGCACTTGTTTATAGGCTTTTGTATTACTCTGGAAAATAAAATAAAAAAGTATGTAAATGCGGGTAAAAACAACAATAACTTGATATATAAATTTCTATCCTTAGAAAATGCTATGAAATTTGCAAGTCCTTGTAAAGAATCTGTATACAATCAACCTTTTACCGACAATCGGTTACTTGGAGAGTTCATTACAAAGAAAGTGGGAAATTCTTTTAAAGCGCATTTCATACACATATTTCTGTATTAGCTAATACGTCTAATGCGAGCAAGACTATGGTATTATATAATGTTGATTTATGAAGATTCTAGCCTTTTAGTGTATATATATATACATATGTGTGCGTGTGTGTGTGTATGTGTATAGAAAGTCAATACTCAAACAGTCAAGCAATACAATATATATATATTCACAAATATTAATTCATCCAAAACATCGCGAGGCTTTCGACTTTGTGAATGAAGTTCCTCGCATTATTTTAAGGAACAGATTGTGTCAAATGAAAAACGTTTCGTGTAATGTATATGTACGTCCCAAGAGGGATTTATCTCGTGCGAGCAAAATATTCTGATGATTAGCAAATAAACCGATTCTTAGATAGTAAAAATAAAGGTACTCTCTGATCTTTGTACGACTTCAGAAAAGTTCCTGGGTAGCCAAACAAAACATTCTAATAATTGATAAGTAATAATTCATATGTAAATTTAGCGACTATTCAAGTAAACATTTTAACTTGAAAATAAGTTGAGCGAGAAATATTGAAATTGAAACAATTAAAAAAGGGGGATTAGTGGTGAAGGTTAACAATAACTTCGAGGGAAAGCGCAGCAAAAATATTTTTTTATGTGATATATCATCTTTTATGAGAAATAGTTGGTTTGGTTGATGTCTCTGATGTATCTGACGAAATGTTTTTGAACATAACTAAACTGTAAACTGAATTATGATCCTAAAGAATTAAGTGGAAAGAAACTTGTTCATGTTGTAACATATATCTGAAGTGAAAAATCAAAAGAATGAACAGGATAACGTCAATCAAAGAGAAATATTTAATAGTTATATCTTCTAGCAACCAATTCATTGTTTAAGGTAGTATTTTGTATTTTCAACCTGAATTTTATATTATTCGACACTTGAGCTAAACAGTTGAATCAGAGGCCACAAGGCTTAAAAATAGCCATCTCTAATTTCTAGCTGCTGACCAGTTGGAGGACAACCCGCAACCTATGCGTCTACTCTTAATGAAATATCGGGATTCACTGTCATATTTAGTACAGCCTCACAAGAGAAAGTGCGAAGCGTGTTCAGTAGCAAATGACGACTCGAGCCTTGGACCTTCTGATCCGCAGCTTAGTATGCTGTAGATCAGTATATTGTAACAAAGAAATGAACCAAAATTTTCCTTACATTTCCTCTTGTTGAGGTACTATACATGTATTGCTAAATATATAAATGTATGAAAAATAACATAATGCGTTATATGTTGAATGCAAAATAACATAATGCGTTATATTTGAATGCAAAATAACATAATGCGTTATATGTTTAATGCAAAATAACATAATGCGTTATATGTTGAATGCAAAATAACATAATGCGTTATATGTTGAATGCAAAATAACATAATGCGTTATATGTTGAATGCAAAACAACATGGCCCTTCTGTTATAATGGAAGTAGAACACGAAAGCCGGCAAGTCTGTGAATCAAATCCATTTATAAACACTCTTTTAAGTCCAATGTTAATTAATTTTTAACTGAGAATCTTAAGAAGAGGAATCATCATGATCAAACTGAAGAAATTATTATATTTTTTCGCGTAGAGAAGTAACTAAACTAATGTGACTAGGTAAGGTGCGGAAAGGTGACCCATTGTCAAAGGCTATGACATTAATATATATATACATACAAAAATACTTGTTTCTGTTATTATGTCTTCCTTGAAATTCAGTCGAAGAAACTTACCTTGTTTTTCCGATGTCTCAAGAAAATGACAAAACCAATTGTCATAAGTATTACACCACTTACAAGTAGAATAACGCAGCCAATAGTTGTGTACATCGGTAGACCATGAGTCACCAGATGGAGCTGTTTAGCCATTGACTCATCTAACTGAGCAGTCTGAAACGGAAATTTTTATTCTGTAACTTCCAAAGGCTTTTAGCTCTATTTGTAATACACTGCAATAAATGTGCCTCATTTGTTTCTATCCTCATTTTTATTAATTTACTCCTTTCTGCCTATCGTCTTACTTAAAATTCTATCTATCTATCATTTCTCCTTATTTCCATATTTGTCTGTTTTATCTCTACCTGTTTTCGCTTCTTATCTTGCTATCTTTAAATCCTATACTGTCTATTTATCTTCTAATCCTTTCATTCTGTTTGTTTATTTATTTATTTTTTACCAATTCCTCTCTGGCAAGATACATAAGAAGAATAAAAAGGTCTCTACCTCGCTAAACCAGAATATTGGAAAATAAATTCTTGACGTGATGTTGTCGAAGAATCTGTAAGTTTAGAGAAAAAACCTAAATTAATAGAAATAGCAAAAACACAAGCCTCATATTAGAAAAGTAAATAAAGAAATAAACACTATATAGACACAGTAGGGTGGCGAAATGTACAGAGATCCATTAATAATAATATTTCATTTTTAAACATTTGTTGTTTGCTGTGCCTACAGTAAAATATCAAATTTATTACATGAAACTCCCAACTTAAGTGCGGTAGAAAGTTTAAGATTCATTTCTAAAGAACAATAATAGATATTGACCTTTTTATATTAATTAAGATATTTCCATTTTGAATGCAAAAAAAAACTGTAACAGTTTCTATAACGTTAGCTCCCTCTGTTGGTATTTTCTCTAACTAGCCAAGTATTAATAGTTTGTTTAATATAGCTTGCTTGTTGTTTTATTATTTCACGCAAAGCTATTTGAGTGATATCTGTGCTAGCCGTCCTTAATATATATATGGGATAGACTAGATAGAAAGTAGCTAGTCAACTTCACCCTCCGCCAATTCTTGGGCTACTCTGATCAAATAGTGGGATTAACCGTCACATTTATAACACCCACCCCCCACGGCTGAAAGGGCAAGCATTTTTGGAAACGGGATTCGAGCCCACGCTCCGTAGATGGCGAACGAGAGCCATAACCACTAGGCCATTAATATTAGCATTTGATATTTTATTAACTTTTGTGAGATTTGTTTATTTGTAGTTATGCGCAAAGCTACACGATGGTCTATCTGTGCTCTGCCCACCACGGGTATCGAAACCCGGTTTCTAGTGTTGTAAGTCCGCAGACATACCGCTGTGCCACTGGGGGGGGGGGGGCTTGCGTGAGGTACTCTTAAAAGGTGCTTCTTGAGGAGTTGGGTTTATCGATATTTGTTATTATATACTTACGATATGCCCTCAATACGTTCAAAAACGATATTGATCTGCATTCTTGCTGCCACATTCATGGGAATTCCCATTTCCTGGAACATAGAAATTAATAGAAAAATTAAAAGCGTTCACTGAAAATCTAATTTATTTAAAATGAAACGAGAATAAAATTATACATGAATACCGTGAGTTTGGAAAGTAAATTGCTTAAGCACACTTCAATTAATGGACAGAGTATTTCAGAATACATACGAATTAAGACAAAAGTCTAATTGTAATGTTGATGTGGTCGAGACTGGAATAAGACAAAAACAAAAATAAATAAACAAGAGAAACTTAAATAGACGAGTCTAATTTGAGCTTTTTACTCTCGTCTACAGATTGGTTAAGTAGACTTGGACTGGTCAAGCACATATATGCACATGGTCAAGCACAAAAGCTAATAGACGCTTCGAAAAACCTTAAAGTTGTCTGGAGCTTAATTAATCAGTTGATTGTAACTGCTTAGTAAATACTTTGTTATTAGTGTTTAACTTTTTTAGTTTCCAGATGGCACTAATTTTTATTCTCATATAATTGTAATAAAAAATCTTGAACGAACTAAGTAACTATGTGTTTTAAAATGTTTGATGTTGTACTCATTAATCCCTTTATATGACTTTTAGGTAGCCATATAATAAATGGATTTTCCATTAAACACTTTTATCATCCTGTTTATGTAAACTGTACAATAATTGGTTTCGTAAATGATGGAGAAAATATCGTTTGTTTATTGTTTTTCTTTGCCTGGCTCACGAATTATAGTAAAGATCTTCTCAGAAAAATATGCACTGAAATTAGATGTAGCTTTTCAAAAAATTAGGCATTTCTATCATCAGATTGTTAAATGTCAAGGAGAGGGGTTGCCCAAGAACACTTCAGTTGAAGTTGAATAGAGTTGTTTAAACATTTGTTTAACAACAAGTAAAAGCTTGGAAAGGTCTATTCTTTCATTGGGGGGGGGGGGGGTGTCTGTGAGTCAAAATAGTTTCGGAGAATTCCACTCCTCCTCACTGACCCTGGACAGTTCCGCCAATGAAACTCTTTGTTTGTTTACCGTGGCAGTTATTTCGATTTAAAACTTTTAACCTTAGACCAAATTAACTTTAAATATCAATTTGGCCAAGGGTCAAGAGTAATCGGGGGTGTTCAGAAACATTATCTCTTCACCCCGCTCATGCACTATATGTATCGTGAGAAACAAAAAATAATAAAAAATATATATAAATAAATAAATATATAAAATAAAATAAAAATAATAATAATAAATAAATAGATAGAATAAAATAATAATAATAATAAATAAATGGATAAAATAAAATAATAATAATAATAATAAATAAATAGATAGAATAATAATAATAAATAAATGGATAAAATAAAATAAAAATAATAATAATAAATAAATAGATAAAATAAAATTAAAATAATAATAATAATAAATAAATAAAATCATGGTGGATTTTAAATCTGACTAGGAAGACATGTGTATTCATGGGTGGCATCAATCACAGTAATGGTGCTGTAGTTTAATGTGTCTTCTTGGATGGTTTGGGAGGTTACAACAATTACGCCTTTAAAAAACAACAATATTAGGGTGTGGATCTGAAAATCCTAATCTCCATAATTTTGATGTGGGAGGAAAACAGGAGTACCCCGAGAAAACCCACTTTCACTACCCGGACGCCGAATATTCTATCCGGATAGTGCCTGAGCTAAGGAACTAAAATATATATATGGGTTATTACACTTTATGACTATAAGCGTATTACATGGTTTCTATTAAATTCATAGGAGAAATATGGGTGCACCAAGTTTCTGGGGTTACTGATGATTTTGGGAATTTCTCGGTTAATGGGTTACGTTTGACGGATTTCTTGTAAAAGTTTGATGCTAATTTTAATATTCTTTCTTTGATGAGTGTATATATGGGTAGTTAATTGAGTTTAGGTATACTAATGGTGTGTATATGGGTAATCTGTAAGCCGTTCTTAATGCAAGATTCTGTAGTGTTTGAATTTTATCGTATAGAGGGTTGGACATATTACAAAGGAGATATTGGCGTACTCGATGAGGGGTCTGATATAAGCTTTATAGATGTGTACTATTGTTTCGGGGTTGCACCCTTTTTGATAGCCTCCAATCGTTTTTTAGAAAACATAGTCTTTGATTCATATTTTTTGCATATATTACTAATATGGTTAGTCCACAATAGTTAGAGTTGGATGTTACTCCTAGGAATTTAATATTAGTTTCATAAAGTTTTAATTTAACCCGGGCTATGTTTTACCTTTTACGTTTAAACCATCTATAAAAGATAATGGCCTGTGTTTGGGGGTTTAAGATTAGCCTCCACTTATTCCACCATGCTGTTATAGCGTCTAAAGTAGTTTGAACTTTCCGAGCGGCAATTAGCGGGTTGCACGACGTGCTCCATACAGCTACTTCGTCGGCATATTGTGACGCGTGTGGTGAAGGTACCTAGGGTACGGTATATCATTAACAAACATAATATATAGGAGTGGGCTAATAACCGAGCCTTGTTGTACTCCCGCTTCTAATTTGAAGTAATTAGATAGTTCATTATTTATTTTTATTTTCGCCGTCCTGTCGGATAAAAAGCTGGCTGTCCAGCGGATTATTTTTGTCGGCAAGTTAAGTTTTGATAGTTTATAGAGTAGTGCGTTGTGCCCGACGGAATCAAAGGCCCGTTTGGCATCTAATAATGCTCCTACTGCTGCCTGGTTTCTGTTAAATGCTTGGAAGACTGATTCATTTAACCTAACTAAGTGGTCAACTGTTTGTCTTAATGCGTTTTGTATGTTAGACAGAATGTTTTCTGATTCTAGATAGTAAAGTAATCTTTTGGTGATAATTTTTTCTGATAATTTCCCAAAGTTATTCAAGAGACCAATGAGTCTATAGTTTGAAGGGTCGTGGAAATCTCTTGTTGATTTAGGTGTGACTCGGATTATTGCAGTTTTCCAGCAACAAGGATAATATCCTGAGTTAAGCGATAAGTTAAACAGAGTTGTGATGCAGTTGAGGAAGTTGTCAGGAAGATTTGTAATTATTAGATTACTTATTCCATCTTCACCAGGGGCACACTTATTTTTCAGTTGTTTAATATTTATTTTTAATTTGGCTAGTGTTATCGAGCGAGATGAAAAATAGTGTTGATCTGTTGGTTCGGGAATCGAGGTTCAGACCAAACTAAGCCTTTATAGTCGTGAGATATTGAAATGGCGTATTTAGGTGTTTTACACTCACAAAAAAGAACCTATCATTCTATAGGTATTTGAAGAACTTGTAGCATTTCGCCACAATTTAATTATTCGTATTGTTAGCCGACACTAACCAGCTGGTACATAATTGAATAGAGTTGTTTAAACATTTGTTTAACAACAAGTAAAAGCTTGGAAAGGTCTATTGTGGCATAATGCTACAAGTTCTTCAAATACCTATAGAATTATAGGTTTCTTTTTTGTGAGTGTAAAACACTTAAATACACCATTTCGACTTCGGTTGAAGGTTATTTAAGTATAATTTTATGTGAAGCATCAAAGATCATTATATTTTCTATTTCCAATAGATGACGCTGCAATCGACTAATGATGTATTTACACAAACTTTTCATTTACTATAGAAATATTTTGGTTTCTTTAGAGTGGTCTTTCAAATCTCTTCTAAAATATTCGTTGATATTTAGGGAAAATTAAATCGAACTACAAATTTTGTCGTTGACAGTAAAATTTTAGGTTAAAAAGTATTTCTGCTGGTAATTTTCTGTTCAATTTTTTGTTATTCTGTGAAAAAAGTATGAAATTACAGAAATATTTGTTTGTGCGTGAAAATGCATTTCTAAAGAAATATAATATCGTGTTCGAAAACCTTTCTATGAATCTCATATTATTAGTGTCACAACGTTTTGTTGAAAACTAGATTGCGATAACCTGGCTTATGTAACGTTTCTCAGATATTAAAATAGCTCTCGATAAAGCATATTTTACGATGTTAAATATTAAATTATTATGCTGTTTCTTGATTAAGAAAGTAACGTGCGTGGGAAAATTCTATTTGGTTTATTTTAAATTCAGTAGTGATAGGCTAGATGTAAGGCAACTCGTAAACACCACCCACCGCCAACTCTTGGGTTATTCTTTTACCAATGAATAGTGAGATTGATATCACATTATAATGAAACGGCTGAAAAGGTGAGCATGTTCAGTGATGAGGATTCGAACCCGCGATTGCGAATAGAGCACCTTAACCACCCGGGCGTGGGAAACTTCGAGACGTGTAACAAACGTTAGGAAGAAACAAAGTAACACACTTGAGTTAAAAACGAGTAAATATTAATGCAGTCGATAGTTTGTTAAACACACATATATAAACTAACACTGGGGGTAATTTTACTCACTGTGTCAGGGTTGGCTCATATGAATAGCAAGCGTATAGGGTATACATTCAGAGGCTTTTTATATGGTAGCTGGTATGAGCAACAGCAGCATATTTGCATACTATGAAACCTGCCGCTTGGAGCGCTGCGGTTAGCCTGATTATGTTTTACGGACTGAGTGGACCGTTTTGACAAACGTAGATTCTTTGTAGATAAATAACGCATACCAACGGCACTAGTACGATTAAAAGCTTCAAACATTTTAGTCAAATCTCCAGTATTTCGTTGTGAAAACTTCTTAAGACAACTTTCTGTTTTTGACAAAACAAAATCACTTAAAAATATCATGCTTTCAAAGACAACAACGCACAATAAGTTAGACATAATTGTCTTTACCGGCTGAATATCGATGAACATTCGGTGTTCTTCTGGTACAGCTTTAACACCCGTTACGGTAGCTGCATATGCAGGATCCGCATACAGGAAATGTGGGTAGGTTACTACAGCAGGAGCATCTGTTCATAACAAACACACACACACACAAAATATAATCAATTAACCAGTTTATTTTATCAATAAATATTGATCATGCACATGGATCTCACTTTACAACAAGCCTTGTACAATATATTTGTTTTATACGACTATTACAGGATCCATTAGCTGACGTGATATATTATTGTTATTCATATCATGTACGTTACCAAACCGACAGATATCAATGTCAGACATGACAATTAAGATAGAAAAGTCAGACGCAGATGTGATTTTTCCTATTTGTGATTTATTGCGATACGACTAATCTACACTTTTCATGAGAAAACAGATATAGAAATTTTGACAGTGTTAGCATAATCTCATTTCAAATATTCGTTTAGGTTTGATTACTACAAAGCAAAGACTTTAAATTTCTCCAAGCGGAAGTTATTGAACTTAGTTAACGTGCTACAACTTTTATCAGTAACACATAACACATATAATTAGAATTTTCAACGTAAATAGTATCTTATGGGCTAAACGGCCAAGACAAAGACCCCTAGGTATATCTGTTTCTAATTTAATTTAATGAACACAGAAAAGACCTTTTTTACCTGTTGCCACATGGGTTTTGTCAGCTATTTGATCTGCATAACGAGATTAACTGTCACTTTTATAACGCGCCCATAGCTGAAAGTACAGAGTGGTACAATTACATCACAACTTGTACCTTGAATCATTCGAAAATTATGGCTAGTTGTCTTTTCTTTAACTGAAGTGTTGGTGTTGAGATGTATTATTGCACAGTTAATACACTGATAAATACCGTTTGTAAATGAACCAGAAAAACTTATTTAAGAACAGGTTTATTATCTGTTTGGATAAGAATTGGTTCAAGTATTGTGTTATTATTGTTGTACATCTGGAGACCCCTCATAATTCCTATTTCATCTGTTTAGTTCATTGTTAAATTTTGGTGAGTAAAAAATGGTCCTGATATTCATGATAAAATATCACAATAGGCCTGCGGGTGAACTTGTTTCACGTCGGGAGTCTCAAGTGATTTTATTACAGTTATTAAGCTTATAGGTTTCAAACAATTCTCTAGTCTTGTATTAGATACAAGTGAGATGTATTAAAGCGCCCACCATAGCACCGTCAACGAAATGTTTATAAGCGTATTCAGAATGTCCTTAAAATATCTCAGTATAAATTACTACAGCTCACAGTTATAGTATCTAGGTCTCTGTATAAATTACTACAGCTCACAGTTATAGTATCTAGGTCTCTGTATAAATTACTACAGCTCACAGTTATAGTATCTAGGTCTGTATAAATTACTACAGCTCACAGTTATAGTATCTAGGTCTCTGTATAAATTACTACAGCTCACAGTTATAGTATCTAGGTCTCTGTATAAGTTACTACAGATCACAGTTATAGTATCTAGGTCTCTGTATAAATTACTACAGCTCACAGTTATAGTATCTAGGTCTCTGTATAAATTACTACAGCTCACAGTTATAGTATTCGTAGG